AGTGTAATTCTTTCCTTGATTTTAGCATACTTAAGTCTAATTTCGTGTAGCTTTCTTTGTACAGTTCAAACACTGACGTCAAGTTCACACTTCTCCTTTACTTTCTTCGCTGTCACCTTTTCTCCAGATGATAACAACCTCGTAACACTCCTCTTCATTCTTCTTTCTGTTCTCTTGGAAATTGTTTTTTCCGTCCTCTCTTCTTCTTCTTCTTCCGCTCATAGTCTGTACTTAGCATGTACTCAACTGTTGACTTCGGTAGCTTCATCTCAGCGGCGATCTTTCGGATGCTGAGCCCGTCTTCTCTTTTCTTTTGGACCAAACTGATGACTTCTTTTGAATGCATTCTTCTTCAGGATTTTAATACGTTTTCGTAGTGAATGGTAAAGATACTCAAATGTAATGGTCAGGGTAAAATTTACCTGCAGAAAATTTGCATATTGTATACGTTCGACGACTAAATCATTAAAAAACCCGGAATTTGTGTCATTTTCGAAAAATAGTGTCGCCTAAATTGAAGTAAAAATAAAGAAAACATGAAACCAAAGACAAACCCATCAATCAATGTTCATACCATTATTGGACAGTTACTGCTGAACTACCTACTCATCAACACAAAAGCTCTCAGCAGCAAAAAACACCTTTAAGCACACCTTTCAAAGTGTCCCAAAAATAGTGTCGGCCCCCCTGTATACGGCAGTAAACGCTGAACAATCCCATGGCAGATAAGGAAGAGACATGAGGCAACAAAACGTGGTTCTACTGAAGGAAGCTTAGAATATCATAGACTGTAAAACAACGTATTTGAAAAAATGAAAACAAAAAAAAGGACTCTTACACTTAATATCAGAAAAAGACAGTCGTAATTTATTGAGTAGAGAATAAGGAAACAATAAATTTGATACTCACAAGATCTATTAAAGGCAAATGGGACAGTCAAAATCAGACATTAACAGTTTTGTCTAAATGGTCGGCAAAACAGAGATTGGGAAAGATATAAAAGCGACGAACTTTACTAAGAGCAAGAACGGACAGGAAGTTGTTGAGAGCCATAATCGCCCACCTCATATTCTTGCATTGTCTTAATTGACGTATTCTGATCTTTAAGCTGAGTTGCTATTACGTTTCTGTATTAATTTATTTTTTGTGTGGTGTCCGATATTTTTGTAAGGTTTTGTGATAATGTCATGAAGTCGCTTTTCACATTGTTTTCTTTTTATTATCTCTCAGTATTTTCTGTGTATTATCCGCGTGTTTATATATATATATATATATATATATATATTTGATTTATTTTCTATATTATCTTTGAAAGGTATCTATATGTTGTATACTTTATTGTTGGTATTATGCCCATCAGGCCTTTCTCGAAGCCTTGCAATAATTCTATTTGTAGAATGTGTTTCTTCTTCATGACTAGATAATTTTCCATTAGTTTTCCATCTTGCTGCTTTTTTTCTCCCCATTTTAAGGATCAACGAGCTTTCCATCTTTTAATTTTATCAATTTCTCAATGTTTTCAATTAGTTTTAATTTAAATTGATGTTCACTCCTGCGAAAGACCTCGGGAGAATCCAAAATAAACAAGTGTCCAATTTTAAAAACAACTAAGCCTGAAGCAGTTTGCAAATGGTTAAGTTATAAAAGCGCTCAGTAGATTAGTCGAGCTTTAATATTCCATACGGATAGAACATGAGTTCAGCAGATATACAAAAATAGAATAGGACGTAAGACAAGGATGTGTCTTCTCACCGGATTTATAGAACCTATACAGCGAGGCAGTTCTTTTGAGAATTAGAAGTCCTACCAGGATTCATTATTGGCGGTTACAGTCTTAACAACATAAGGTATGGAAGTGAGAGAATGTTGATAGCAGTCAACGAAAGCTCCCACAAAAGCTCCTACATAAGGTAACAAAGAAAAGCGAGAAGAAAGGACTATGTACTTCAAGAAGACAGTATACATGGTTATCAGCAAAAGCAGCCACACTGATATATATATATTGAACATTGAAGTCAACACATAGAGGCGACAGAATGTACGTGAGGGATTCATGGAAGATTGTAGTTTAAAAGCAGTAAAATCGACCTTGCTAACCGAACGATCCTCTGTGGCTCAATTGGTTAAGGTACGTCAGGCTATATGATTGTTCCGTATAGGATACAGGTTCGATTCTTGTTGGAGGACGAATATTTTCTGAAAATTTCTCGGACATTCAGGCCGGTAAATGTTGTTTAATATTGTTTATTATAAACAGAGCATTTACTTAAATATTTGTATCTATAAAATGAATGTATACACATAAAAAATATACAAGTGGGTTTATTATTGTTATACGTCATTTATATGGACACAAATATTTAAGTAAATGCTCTGTTTATAATAAAACTTAAAACGACATTTACTTCTCTTGAACATCCGAGATATTTTATAGAAAATATGTAGTTTTCCGACAATCTTATCGAACCTGTATTAATATAAAATTGATCATACTAGCCTGAGGTGCTATGTTTTTAGAGGTTGTAGTATAAAAGTCCTCTGTAACTAAACTGGTATATCACGTCAGGCTATATGACGGTTTCCCTCTAGGGTACAGGTTCGATTCCTGCCAGAAGACATATTTTCGATGAAAATTTTGGAGGACATTCGGATTAAAAAATTGTTAATACTGTTCCAAGCATTTGTTTATATATATATATATATATATATATATATATATATATATATATATATATATATATATATATATAGGTAAGGCAATAAAATCATTTACAGTTCCTAGCTATATATATAGCTAGAAAAGCAGTTACAGTTTTTATGTAACGCATAGGTTTCACTTTATCAAGAAACACATTAAATTTTGTCTCTAAATTAAAATACATACTATTAAATCTAAAAGCATCACATGACGGATTGATATTTAATCTACTACACACCATCACATATAAATAATTAAATAAAAATCATAAATGTATTTTAGCAGAGCAAACATAATCTTTGAAAATGAATGATGAAAGCCAAAAGCGTTTAGTATTCGGACAATATTTGTACAGTCTCGTTTCTTTAGTTTTTTTGTCTTGTTTTACGGCATGTCAACCTCAATAGGTTATTTAATGCCGACAAGATTTTTATTGCTGGTAAGATTTTTTCCAAAAAAATGTATTGCAGGTATTTTTTTTTTCAAAAATGTATTGCTGGTAATAATGCAATGCTGGTAATATTTTTTTTTACAAAAATGTATTGATGGTATTAAAATCTATTGTTAAACTTTCATAGTGTTTTATCCCCAGTTTGAGGGTTAGATGGGACCCTAATATTCGCTACCTCCCCAGGTCAGGTTGGACCTGGAAAAACCAGCAATAAAGAGGTGGTTCCACGATACTCAAAACCACCTGATCACAGGGCTTGCTGTTGGATTTAGTTTATCGTCTTACCCAGGACGCTGTACAGTCTTTATCCTGTTGTCAAATGAATTTAAATGTTAATAAACATATTTTTTTGTTTTTTGTTTTTTTTTCTTTCTTTTATGTGCCGTTTCACTTGATGAGGTGGGCAATCATATCTCTTTACAATTTCCTATCATTTTGTAGCTCTAAAATTTGTCACCCCCCTCCCTATACTTTTACAACGATTTACTGCAATCCATTTACACAAGCCAGTAAGGTCAATGATTCTCATTTCCCTCTGCCAATCTGGGCACCAAAATGCTTCTGTGAGTGTCAAATTCTCCGTACTCTATTTCCTCTTTCTGTTTGAGAGATTTCAATTGCCCGTTTCTGATTCTGAGGAGAAGTGTGTTTTTCGTTCCTCATAGTTTTTTTAAATATTATCGTCGTTAATGTGAAACGTTTTCTCAGCTTACTTCTATAAAGCCGCATATCTGTTGATTCAATTCTCTCGTTCATTTGGCTTAAGGCCATATCATTTGGAAACACCGGTACAGCCTGGTCAATACGCACATGGGTGACTGCTTCTGTAAGCTTGAATGTGTGGATTGTATGCATTGCGGCACATTCGCCTGAAAACACCGGTTTTCGTACGATGTTAAACAATGTTACGAGACTTGGATGATTGAAGCTTCGGCCTATCAGATGCTGTTAGCTTGTATGTGAGGGTAATATGCATGAAACACTGGTTGGGCTTTGAAATGGAATAACAATATAAAAAATATCAAAGGCTAGAGATTAGTAATTCTTTGAGTCTGTTCCTCACTGAGTGCCATCCACATTTTGACTTAGGATCTTAGTAAGCTAAGCTTAGTAAATTTACAATACTATTTTATAAATTTAAATAATATAGACAAGTGTTGTCTATTTATTTTATGTAAATTTTTTTCATAACGTCTGATAAGCTTAATAAAATTATCATTAAACGAAGAAAGAAAATCACAATATTGATCCATATTTTTAATCCAATCTAAGCTTTCGGCTTACATACTTTCGGCTTATATACCAACGGCTTCCCATACTTAATCCCTCTCGAATCCACTCTGGCGTGGTCATGTGTGACGTCATGAGCTGCGGTGCGATTTTCGCTTCTAGCGTCTTATATGCACGTGTTTATCGCTGCTAGGAAATCATCCATGTAAACAATAACAGACTATCATCACTGTCTTGTCCGTATAGTGCTCAATATGTTGTAATTGACATCTTTGATAATGGCTTATGTAAGCCGAAAGCTTAGATTGGATTAAAAAATATGGATCAATATTGTGATTTTCTTTCTTAATTTAATGATAATTTTATTAAGCTTATCAGACGTTATGAAAAGAATTTGCATAAAATAAATAGACAACACTTGTCTATATTATTTAATGAAACATGTATGAATGAAAAATGCTGCCTAAATATACACAATATATATATATATATATATATATATATATATATATATATATATATATATATATATATATATATATATATATATATGTATATATATATAACCATTACAATTAGGCATTTAGATCCTGAAAAATGGTGCTTCTGAAACTTATAGGCTTACGGCCACATCATAGATGAAACACCGGTTCCACATGATTTCTGAAGTTGAGCAAAGTCGAGACTGATCAGTATTCGGATGGGCGACCGCTTAGGAATGCTAAGTGCTGTAAGCTGGGATGTGCGGATAGTATGCCTAACATCCATAACGCTTTCAAACATCGGTTTTCGTACGATCATGGAAGTTAAGCAATGACAAGCCTGGACAGTACCTGGATGAGTGTAAGCTTGGATATCATGCTAAATTACAGGTTTCTGTACGATCAGCGAAGTTAAGCAACGATGAGCCGTAAGCTTGGATGTGGTGTAATAGATAACGGCACAGAATTGAAAATCTGAGTTCCAATTCCAGTCGGGTTTGTTATATTCACTTACGTGCAAATACCTTTGGGAAAGGCATGAAACCACCTGTTTCCCCCAGTTATTGTTTAATTCATAAGAATTGTATCAATAAATCACTCTTGTATCAACAACTTCTTACAAATATATTCTGGCTTTAAATAATATGTCAATAAACCGTTTAAAAGAAACAAATCAATCAATAAAAGAAATTCTTCATTATCTGTCTATGTTTCTGAGCTGAGGTATTTTAAGGACACATGAGCTAGCTGATAAAAGCGTCAGTTGAATCAAGTGACTTGACCCAAAGACTTGTGAGTTCACCAGCTGGCTACTACAGTCGTGAACAAAAACTCGGAGAGTTGAATTAAAGGGAGATAACTGAGTTCTATTGACCTTTTGACTGAGGATTTTACTCTGCTAAGAAAGCTTAATAAATAGATAAGATATCTAAATAGATTATTTTGGATAAGAATCAGCTTCCTCATCTTACTAAACATTACTATTAGGAACTTAGATCCTGAGTGGATTCTTCCAAACTTGTAGGTTTACGGCCACAACACGTTGAAACACAGTGATCCCCTACAATCACGGAAGTTAAGCAACGTCGAGCCTGGTCAGTACTTAGATGGCTAACCGCTTGAAGTAAACTTACATGTGCTGGTGTTATAATTGCTTGGAGAGCCGAGTTCCAATTCCAATTGGGTTCGTTTTATTTACTTAATGCACAAATATCCTGCCTGCTCTGGATTAAATTGCAAAACTTGGATCAATGAAACCATCATCATTATCTAAAAAAAATAAAAAAAGATTGCTTACGAACTATTTAGATTTCGTCATTAAATAACCCATAGAGATTGCTATGCCAGCAAATAACAACCAACCAACCAAACTTGTAGCGTTGTTTCAGACTAAGATAAACACCTACAGTAATCAAATTTAGTTTTGCCAATCTGGCAAGGTTTCGGAAAATTTCATGATCGCAATATCCCTAAAGATTTCTTGCATTCTAATACTCTTTGATTGCAAAATTCCATTAATTTATTATTTATAGAGCAAGTGCTGGAATTTCCTGCTCCTGGGCATGAGTAATTCTGATTGAGCTAGCCTTATAGACTCGAAGGATTTTAATTATGCCTCAGTGGGTCTTCTACAAATGCGGTTATTAACCAAAGGGGGTTTGTCCCAGAAATATCCACAATGGAATTCCTAAAGGAATATTAGCAAAACTGTCTTTGAAATTAAAGAATATATTATTCCTACACGATTTCCTTATTTCGTTTGAAAAAGATATGGAATGTTTTTTTCTTGACGAGGGAAAAAAAAACAAATTAACAAAACTAGAAGAAAGAGAGAAAAATTCTAGTTGTAGATATTTGGCGCTGTTATAAATTTGTTGAAGCAAGAAAATATTTTTTCTTTTATGCGCCCTGTGCGTGCGAGACGTGGGCACTTCCGTTTCTTCCAAACCGCTTATCCTTTGTAGGTCTAGGGCACTGTTACCGAAATTTATTTATTTCAGTCGGATTTTCGTAATTCAAATTTGCTCATGCCTTTTAATGTTAAAGTTCATTAAAAAAAAAAACAGAGAGGGTTAAAGGGAGATAACTTCGGATTCGATGTTAGAATATTGTCATTGATAAATCTCTCCTCAAATTTGCAGACCCTAGTTACTATATTCTTAATACTTGATATAATACAAAAATATCACAACGATGAATTCGATCAATAATTATTTATAACTATTTATACTTTTTTTACATGCATGTAATTATAAGTAATCGATAATAATATTTTGAAATCATATTTACATTTGGCATATGAATTTTTTCAAACTTTCTAAAACTTTGATTGTCCTTCAATCATTCCGCCTCACCTGCTATCCTCTTCTGCCTCACGTGCTATTCTCCCCTGCCTCACCTGCTATCTTCTTCCACCTCACCTGCTATCCTCTTCCTCCTCACCTGCTATCTTCTTCCTTGAAACCTGCTATCCTAAATATCACCTATAGGGTATCCTTTCCTGCCTGAGCTGCTATCCTCTTCTGCCTCACCTTTAAATCTTTTTCTTCCATTCACCTCCTATCCTCATCTGCCTCACCTGCTATCCTCTTCCGCCTCACCTGCTATCCTCTTCCGCCTGCTATCCTCTTCCGCCTCACCTGCTATCCTCTTCTGCCTCACCAGCTATCCTCTTCTGTCTGCTATAATCTTAAGCAATGCTTGTCTCCTTGCTCTCTATCCCATTCCTCGTTGTGATATACATTTACACAAAACCCGTTAAGTAGTTTAATCGCTATATCCTCTGACTTAACGTTCTTGCAATATACTGTGAGTCTCATATTCTTCAAGTCTTCTTCCCTCATTATGGACGTCAGAACTTTCAACTGTCTCTTTTTCATTTCCATTTTCCTTAAAACCGCCAATACTATTCTAATCATCCTTCTGTAGAACCACAAATCGCTCTTTTCAAGTGTTCTCTTCATTGGCTAGGGAATTGTCTATTATACACTGTCATATATGCGGACTGGTATTATTTGCTTATATCTCTGAGACGAGGTATTATGATTACTGCGCATTATTTACATTACCCGCACTCTTATCCTAATCTGCATTGCCATATTAACAACGTTTCGGCAGTTGAACGCTCGAGACCCGATCGATTTGGTTTCAGACGGAGTTTCTATTAAATATTGTTGGCTGGAAAGAGCCGGGAAGGATTTTCACAAAAAAAGGCTGCAAAAGAAACTGTTTCCTTAGAACTTACTTCTCGTCAGCTCAAATTTAAATTGATGAGATCTCGACATCAGTCAAGTACTCCCTTAAATTCAAAAAAAAGTACCATAGAAAAAAAAAAATTCTTTGTTACATAATATCAGTCCTCCTATATTAAATGGCAGTGAAAAAAAAACAATCTTAAATCACAGATGAAGAAGAGAATTTTTCTTTAGAAACAAAAAAAAAGAATGCTGAACTATTACGTAATATCAGTCCTCCTATATGGCAGTGAATACTGGACAATCTCCTCACAGATGAAGAAGAGACTTGAAAATGAAAATTACAAAGAAAAAAAGAAAAAATTGATGAACTATTACGTAATATCAGTCATCCAATATGGCAGTGAATACTGGACAATTTCCTCACAGATGAAGAAGAGACTTGATTCAACAGAAATGTGCTTCTACAGAAGGATACTGAGTATGCCATGTACCGAATATCTGAAAAACGAGAAAGTTTTAGAGAAAATGGAACCAATTTATAGTTACATCATGAAAATACAGATGAAATTTCTAGAGCACATAATGGTGAAAGAGTGCTTGGAAAATTGGACACTCACAGGACTGATTGAAGGCAAAAAATTCATAACCAACTTAGTAATCTTGAATAAATGGATGGCGGAACATGGTTTAAGAGAAATCATATATATATATATATATGTGTGTGTGTGTGTGTGTGGAGGGGGGTTATTCAAGACAGAAATAGTCGTTATATTTCTTATATATAAAACTCAAAGTTTGTCTGAGTCCACTCAAAACACGGAAAATCAACTGAATATATATAAAGTTCGTTTATCGTGTGTGTTTACGCATTACGTAAAACTGTGACAATAAATAAGTGAGATTTGCCCCCATACAAACGGAATATACCCTTTTGATCGAGCTTAAGTTTGATGTCTCGGGGATTAATAACCACTTCTCTCCATTGGGGTGCCTCAGGTTTCAGGGTTTAAACCATCATTCTATCTTTTTAGTGTAGTGGGGCAGATGCTTCCCTGGTGTTGGACAGCAGAATAAATCCAGTTTTATCATTGGGCTACATCCGCGCGTAAATAATGCGACATTTTTAATGCTGTAGTTTGAAAATCTAATATTAGTAATTCTGTCAAATCCAATCAATAAATCCTAGTAATTTACAAAACTGTCTGAAACAGTTTTTATTGGTTTGGTTTGTTTTACAGCATATCAACCACCCGGGCTTCTTCGCAAGCTTCAGTATTATGGAATTTCAGGTCGATTGTTTGACTTAATAAAACCGTTCCTGCCAAACTGTGTATTGAAGGTCGTTCTCAACGGATTCTTCTCCAGCTCCTATCCGACGAACGGTGGTGTTCCCTAAGGCTCCATCCTAGACCCTACTTTGTTCCTTATCTTCATCAACGATCTTCCTGACGTCATAGATTCTCAAGTAGGCATCTACGCAGACGACACTACAATTTACTCCTGCCTCAAAAACAAATCTAGTGTTGACAAAACTAACCTGGCCGTTCGTCACGAAAAGAACCTCCAATTGGTTGTGAACTGGGGCAGGAATTGGATGGTTAACTTTAACGCCTCAACAACAAAACTGCTCTCTATTACTCATCACAGGGAACCATCCCTTCCCCACATTAGAATGTCTGACGCTTAACTTCTCGAGAGTTCCTCTGTGCGACTACTCGGTCTCACATTGTCTGCTGACCTGAGATGGAACAAATACATTGAGTCAATAGCTTCGTCCACCGCAAGAAAAGTTGCTTCCTTGTGCCGCGCCAGGAAATTTTTCTCCCCGGAGTCGATCCTTCAAATCTACAAATCAACCATTCGCCCTTGCATGGAGTATTGCTGCCATATATGGTCTGGTGCCCCTTCTGTTTGTCTCAAGGTCCTTGATAAAATCCAGAGATGGATATGCAATGTAATTGGCCCTGATCTGGCATCTCGTCTGCAGTCGCTCTCTCACAGACGTGCCGTCGCCTCCCTCTGTCTTTTTTACAAATATCTTCACGGTAACTGCTCT